CCGAGACGTCCTCAACTCTGGTCAAAATGTGGCCAGTAGTGGGCACGTCACTGGGCAGGGGCTGCGTGCCTCGTTGCCAAACATTATGGTAGTAAAAAAACCCTAAAGAGAGGAAGACTGCTTAAAAATATACTCTACTCTCTGTCTGAGATAAAACTACTCATTGAAAACATCGCACTTGAAGTAAAACTATGTACATTTTTTGGACAAGAAAAGTAAAGTAAAGGCAAAAAAAGATAAAAATGTACTGTACTAATATACCCTTTCTATGGTTATGGCAGCTCAAAAATCAAAATCATGATCAATGCAATAGAAGGTGCTACGTAGGCACTGCCCCCATATTTGAATACGAGAGAATGTCCAATAAAATCAAGAAGTCTCTAAGAATTTCAATAAGCAATAATAAATGTATAAGATCTATGAAATTATAAATTAGAATGACATTTTATCTGTTCACATCAGGTTTTTTCCAAGGGGATGGCTTCCACCAATTGGCAAAACTGCAACAAGATGCAACCAACTGGAGGAGAAAGGATGATGATTATCTTCTGTTTCTATTGGACTAAAGAAAGCAGATATTGAATGAACGTCATCAGGACACGCACTTAGGCACGTTGGTCCGAAGGTATATAAAAGAACTTACCACTGAGGGTCAAAAATCCCATAAAGAATGGAAGACGTAGAACCCAAACCAAAATGACTAAACTTAAGTTACACAAAAAAAGGGTCCTAGTCCATGAATTGGCGCTTGGGGCCTAATATCCCAGAGTCTGGAAAATGACGAAACGACCCCCTGCACCACGACCTCAACGGAAACAGCACATGTAACGTCCTAGAAAAAGGTATCTTGAGTGGCATGAAGAAGATCTGTATGTTTTATAGGAAACCAACTAACGGAGAAAATCTACAGTTTTTTGCTGATCGCCATACTGAATCGCTGAGAAAGAAAGATATAATAGTGAAATATACAATCAATAAACTATTAAATTTGTCAAAAGAAAATCAGTGAAGAGGGTTTGGCCTAGGAATGGGCACTCTATTATCAATGAAGAGAAATTCAAGCTAATGATAAGTGATAAATAGTAAAAAGGTTACCTGATTTTGACCCGTGACACAAGATGCCCTCGGGACGTCACTGGTTCTAATAATTTTATCTACTTAGGACTAAATCAGCCTCTTCATACAATAAATACTATCGCCAAATTTCAACAGAATCAAATTAATATTTTTTACGATATCAATTAAAAAAAAATAACAAGGAATCACACTCTCCGTCTATTTTTCGAATACCCTGCATAGTATTTAGTGTAACTAAATTACATCTTCACGAAACTATTTCAACTCTGCCAGATGTTACTAAAATTCATACAATTCGAAGATGGAATGGAAAGTCCTTGGCCTGACATGACATGGAAATTCCAATGAGTTCAAGACATCTTGTTCAAGGAACCGGGGACGAGAAGGGTCTACAGGGTGGATACCGCATTTGTTGAATGCTGATCAAAGCGGATGTGCAAGCGCCTTTCCCAGCAATGTTTGGACCAGTTCAATATGAATCTGACCGATTTTATATGGCGATTAGTTACCACTAAACGGCAGAAACAACAATTATGGGGAACTGCTATTCCAACACTCTTGATCAACTGTCAACCAGTCTTCCACTTCGGAGAAGGAATCCTTATGTCGGAAACGTTGGATCAAGTGTGTTCGAGTCGAAGGGAATTCTGTAAAAAAATCTAATCATTTTCAACTGAAAATCATCGCAGTCTGTCATTGTCAGGCCGAGAAATGTTCAACCTACTTTTGTGATGCAACTGCAATATTATCTTTGATACAACTACAAGAAGTTTTGTATTTGCAAGAAACGAATAAATGTACGTAATTCACCATCGAATAGACATTTATTAAGTTTTCTTGTTGGCTTCTGAATCTTAATCCGTCAAGTATCTAATTTCCTGTGATTCAATGAAATCTGTGATCAGTGATATGTATGACTGTATTATTACTTTTCATGTGAAAGCTCACTTAATTCGGTGATTATTTTCAGCTTATGAGTGATCATGATTTTGTAAAATCTGTGCTAAAGTTCGCTGAGCAGTTGGTGAAACACTCGCAAAACCCATACCTCTACCAGTTCTCTTACAAAGGTGTCTTGGGTTTTCACAGAAATCAGTCAGGTAATCTTATCAAAGCCAAGTATATAAACTATAGCTAAGTTTACAATTTCACTATGTGCTGGTACTCCATAGATCATAGGAAAATAAAATTCAACAACTCAAGACTAGGATGCAAAGCATCAAAACAAAGTATGCCTCAAATCTTATTTTTGTTTAATAGTGAATTAAGTTTTTTCTCAGATAATGAGCCGTATTCATAAAAGAGAAGCATATCCTCGAAAGCATAAGGTATAAGCATATCCTTGTTTTCATATTCATAATGATTACCTTATACTTGCGAGGTTATCCTCCAAGAAGAAGTAAAAGGTTGACTGGTATTTGTATCTTGAGCGACATGTCCTGACTTGTTTCAGCTTGTGGTTGGCGTGGGAGTTCGCTCATTCAGCATCACTGACAGTTGTACCCAGAGCTTACACAGACCGTTCCGTATTTTCACTGGATGCAGTTTTTATCAAATTAATAAGCATGTCATACTCAAGTTATGAGGCAACTATAGAAAATAATGGCAACGACCTGCAGTTCATCGCAGATGAAATTGCCATTGCTCCCATTATTTTCCAAAGTCACAAGTGCCAAAAATAAAAATGAGAAAGGACGATGCCTAGAAGAAGATGTTGAAAAAATAGGAATCAACATTCGGTAAACCATTAGATACTAAAGGCTTATTAAAAAAAATCAACAACATGAAATCAAGATTGAAAAAAAAACAGAACTAAAAAAAAAAAACTGGTAATAAAGCAATTAAATTGTTAGATTGGGAAAAAAAGTTGCTGATAGCTATGGAAGGTGACTGTAATCCTACAATTGGGAAAATTAGAGGTGCCATTCAGGTTGGTAGTGTTCAAGAAGAAGGAAGTGAACTATATACCGAGCGCAGTGAGCAAACAGTTGGTATTACAGCGCAAGCAATGCAGAAGAGATTGCCACCAAAAAGAAAATTAGTACCAGAGAAATACGAAACTGAGGAAACCAAAGGGTTAACTACAAAGAACTGCAACGTCTAGTGCTGTTACAGCAATACCAAATAAGCATTTTACAACAAGAGTATTATAAAACGAAATAAGAAATGATGCAGCGTCAGAAGCCACCTGTATCTTATGACGTTCACAAAAATAAAACTTATTATAACTTATAAATACAGTTTAATCAGTAAAACTATTTATTATTTGTTGACCTAGTTGGCGGAGAGGAAGTTCGTCATTCTCATGATTTCCTTCATCTTCGTCTGGGTCTTGTTTAACTAAATCAAAGTCAGGATCGCCCAAGCTCGTCGCAACATTATGGAGTACAATACAAACAATAATTATTGTCGGAACATTTTCCAATTTTACGCGGCGAATATACTGTAGGATAGGAAACCGGCGTTTCAGTTGGCCGAGACAGCATTCAATTATAACTCTTTCTTGTTTTAAATTGAACAACAAAACACCACCATAGCTGCACTGAGTGGTCAGTTATTATTTTTGAAGCAGTTCCTCACACCTAACAAGTCTTATGCTGCAGCAACTGAACCATCAGGTAGAACAGAATCAGTCCAGTCAAACGCGGCTACCGCGGCTATACTGGCATCGTCGTCAACATTGAATACTGTAACAACAGCGATACCACCAGTTTCAATTTCAGAGACGATGCACAGGGGCGATCTTACTTTCGACAAACAGCTTATAAGCAAAACGCTAGTCGCAGAAGCTATACATAACGCTAAGGCTAACAGTGTTTGCAAGACTTTAATAAATTTGAATAATGATTTTGATAAAGAAACTAATGTAGATGATGGCAAACGTAAGCCCAAAAATTTACTAATAGGTAGTATGTCTGGTTTACAAAAGTGTCCCTTAAAGGCTGCAACAGCGAAATCTATCAGACACTATCATGTAACGCGCCTTGATCCACAAACAGACGAAAAGGTTCTCTCGGATTATTTGAAAGCAGTTGCTCCAAATGTAAAGGTCGAGAGGTTGACAGCCAGATATCCCGAGAGGTACTCATCTTTCAAGGTATCCGTTCCAGTCGACGAAGCTTCCACCATTATGGATAGTAACATCTGGCCTACAGGTGTTCTGTTGAACCGATTTTTTCGAGCCAGAAATACCAAAGGAGATTTCAAGAGATCAGAGCGTGGTGCAGATGGCCGGCGTTCAAGAGAACTGTGAGATGTCCTCTCATTCTGCAGATAAGGACTGTTCTACTACATATGGTCTCTCAATAATGCATTTGAACATCCAAGAAGGCTTATCTAGCAAAGTAGATGAGCTGTGTTTGTGGTTGAGTGAATGTTCCTTTGATATAATTTGCTTATCGGAACATTGGCTGAACAATGATAAATTGTATTCGATTAATTTTAATAGTTACTTTGTTATTTCTTCCTACTGTAGGCCTGCCAATGCGCATGGTGGCGTTGCAATTTTGGTTAACAGTCATTCAGATTTCAAAGATATTGATCTCAGCAGCTTTTGTATACCATTTCATGCAGAGTTTTGTGGAATTGCAGCCCCATCTAAAAATATGGCTGTGATCACCACATACAGGTCATCCTCTTGTGGTGATATAGCCATATTCAAAGACAAACTAGTTTTTATGATTGATTATTTGTATCCTAGATATAAAAATCTAATCATACTCGGTGATTACCAGCTGCTCGCATCTTGCTGCTGACGTTATTAACGCCTTTTCATCATATGGTCTCTCACATTGTATTAGCGAACCTACTCGTATTACTTCTTCCACCAGCTCCTGTCTGGATAACATACTGACGAATATTGATATTGAGAGCCGTATTACCGGTGTTCTTAATCTAAACCTTTCTGACCATTGTGGAATTTACATGTTCATTCGATCAATCAAGCAAGCCCGTTGTAGTAGCTCTTTTAAGATAAGAAACGTTACTAGCAAGGGGCTATCGTTATTCGCCAGCAAGCTTCACGATTTTGACTGGTCTTTTCCTGAGAGTAATACGCGTACTGCTGCTAATCTAGCAAATTCAATACTCAATGCTCTAAATTTAGGAATTGATGCTTGTTTTCCTTTGCGGAAAATTGATAATACGAATAATGGTTTGAGATGGTTCACAAAGAGGCTCAAATATATGCGCAAGCAATTATTTAGATACAAGGAAATTTTTAGATCAATAAGGTTAGAGCAAGATTGGCTAGCCTTCAGGAACTGCCGCTATGAATATAAACGAGCAATTAAACTGGAAAAAAGGAGCTTCTATTCCAAAAGAATACTGACAACTAATAATAAAAACAAGACAGTTTGGCAAATAGTTAATTCAGAACGTAATCGATTAAAGTCCAATCATATAGAATCCACTGTATCTTCAGATAGCTTCAATAGATATTTTTCCACAGTTTCAAAGAATATAGTATGCTCAATTGACAATGAAAGTGTTGCCCCACTTACATTGCTGAACAAGGTCCGAAAACCATCTATGTCTTTCTTTATTGCTCCAATTGTAGAGTCTGATGTTGCCGAAGCTATTCTCAAGCTTAGCAACTCTCCTTGCTTGGACTACTACAGTTTGAATAGCTCAATGCTTAAAAGAGCTATTGAGTCTCTTGTTGAACCACTTTCAATTCTTTACAATAAGTGCATTTCTGAAGGGGTTTGGCCTGACTCGCTCAAGATTTCAAAGATTCTTCCTCTTCATAAATCGGGTGATGCGAATGACCCATGTAATTATCGGCCAATAGCCATTGTGCCCATCATAGGGAAAGTTTTTGAAATCCTGCTAAAGGACAAGCTATTATCATATTTCGAAAGAAATTCATTACTATCCACATGCCAATATGGATTTCGGAAGGGAAGCTCCACAATCAAAGAGCTGCTTGATTTAGTGGAATATGTTGTTGATGGTCTGGATAATGGTCTTAAAACCTTTACTACTGTGTGCGATCTTACTAAAGCCTTTGATTGTGTCAATACTAGTATATTGCTTCTAAAACTGGAGTACTACGGTGTACGAGGTGATGAATTAAATCTGTTCCGACCATACTTGACTAACCGGAAACAATATGTTAGTTGCAATGGTTACGACTCTACTCTGCTCCCTATTGATAACGGAGTTCCTCAGGGCTCGGTGTTAGGTCCCCTTTTATTCTTGGCCTACATAAATGATCTGCCGGCGTCAATAGATCACAGTTTGTGTTTTATGTTCGCAGACGACACGACGTTATCAACAAGGGATCAGCAGGAGTTAAGCGTTGATGGCTTGGAACAGGCAAAGAAGTGGTTCTCGGTGAACAAACTGAAGCTAAATGACGCCAAAACATCTTCTATCGTTTTCAGCTCTGACAAGTGTCAACCTGCGTCTGATCCTGTCAAACTCCTAGGAGTTAAACTGGATACGGCACTTACTTGGTCACCGCACATTGATCTCGTCTGTTCCAGGTTATCCACGCAAATCTTTGCAATTCGACGGATGAGTGAATACTTGGATAAACGTATTCTAAAAACAGTTTACTTCAGCCTAATCCACAGTCAGTTGTCGTACGGTGCCCTCCTTTAGGGGAACGCTTCTGGATCTTTCAAAGCGTTCACACTCCAAAAGGCAGCTGTTCGCATAATTGATGGTTTGAAATACGGCACACCATGCCAACCACTTTTTAGAAAACATCGAATTTTACCACTACCAAGCATTTTTATATATGAAACGCTTTTACATATTCATAAAAACCTCCATAAATATGTAACGCATTCCGATGTTCATGATCATGATACCAGGTCAGCAAATAACATCAGAGTTCCATTTTCTAGATTACGTTTATCCAAGTTGAACAAGCCGGATGTCACATTATACAATTTATTTGTGAACTGTTACATAGAACATGATGTGAAAAATATGAATGTCTACAAATTCAATAGACTATTGAAGAACTTTCTCATAGACAAGTGTTTTTACAGTGTCGATGATTATATTAATTATGTAACTATATTTAAAATACAAAAATCTGTGACTTCAAATGTACAATAATGTATGTAATGTAGTCAATAAACTAAACTAAACTAAACTAAACTAATTATTATGATTATTCTTATTATTATTATTATAATTATTATTATAGCTATTCTTCTTCTTCTTATTATTATTATAATTATTGTTATTGTTATTATAATTATAATTACTAGTATTATTATTATTATTAGTATTATAATTATTGTTATTATCATTATAATTTTATTATAATTATTCTTATTATTATTATTAATATTATATTATTAAAGTAATTATAATAATAATAATAAGAATAATAATTATAATAATACTAATAATAATAATAATTATTATAATAGTAATTTTAATAATAATAATAATAATAATTATAATAATAATAATAATTGTAATTATAATAATAATAATAACTGTAATAATAATAATAATAATAATAATAATAGTAATTATAATAATAATAATAATTATAATAATAATTGTTGGAACGCGTACTAGCGTCACCCCGCCGCGCCGCTACTGGCGAGACGACCAGACAGGTTGCCTAAGGCAAGGCGCGCACTGAGATGGTGAGCAAGTGACGTGGTAGTGGCGCGGTGATCAAGTGGCAAGTGGAATCGCTAAAGCCTATATAAACAAATGAAGACGGGCGTATCAAAATGGAGTAGCGGTGGCGTGGCATTTTTAGGTGGCGTGATGTCAGTCTGGTGCCACTAATCTCGAGCAAGTTTAATTTTCGACTGGCAAGCGGTTGGTGACGACGACGCGATGTGGGTTTTTGTTTACTTTTTCCTGGAGTGAATCATGCGATACGACCACGAATTGAACATTAATTTTGTAGCCCTTGTAGAGGCATATCTCTGTCTGTATGACAATACACGGGAGGATTATCATATGATCCATGTGCAAGAACGGGCTTTTTTTGCCACAGCGGATGAACCCAATGCCGTTTTTTCTTCGTCTCCTGACTTATAGCATTTAGATTAACAAGTTGCATAAATAAAAGGGCATCTTCATCTTCTGAGGACGACATGGTAAACCGGTGACGTCAGCTGACTTTGCCACTTCAGTGCGCTTTATATCACTTTCATACCACTTCGCCGCTATTCCGATCGCCACGCCAAATTTTACCATCCCTATGCCTCTCACCACTCCAATACCTCACCACTACCACACTACCTCAGTGCGCGCCTTGCCTAACCTAGAAGCTTGTAACCGCCGTCCTGTCCCCGCGCGCCGCACCTCGGAATGCAGTCAGTCGTGAAGAGTCAGTCTTGGGAAGCAGTCGAAGTACAACAGCAGCCAGCACACGCGCGCGGATCGCGGAACGCGGAAGCCCGGTCTACACCTGTAGCTTATCTACCCATTCATGTACAAGTACTGAATAAACTGTTCTGAACCGAAGACCACTGCGAGTTGAATTGCTCTGCTTACCTATCCTCAACAGGTTACGTGCCCAGAGACAGTGCTACGGACATTGAACAATTATTGCAAGTGCTGAAGATAATATAGGAAGTGTGTGACTAGTGTTATCAAACATGAGTGTGGCAAAAGTATCCTGTATAGACTCGCTTAGCAGGGATAACTACGACACGTGGAAAATACAGATGAGGGCATTGCTGGTAAGAAACGATCACTGGAGTTATGTATCTGGCGAGATAAAGCAGCCACGGATAGATGATGGGGACGAAGCATCCACGAGAGCTGTAGAAGCCTGGACTAAAGGTGACAGCAAGGCGATGTCGGACATAATTTTGTCAATAAGCCCCTCAGAAATCAAACAGGTAAAGAACTGTAATACATCCAAGGAACTGTGGCAAAAGTTGGAGGGTATTTACCAATCAAAAGGACCCGCTAGAAAGGCCACATTGCTCAAACAGCTTACACTGCAACGTATGGAAGAGGGACAGGACATACGATGTCATTTAAACTCATTTTTCGATGCAGTTGACAAGTTAAATGACATGGATGTAGAAATCAATGCAGATCTATTAGCGATAATGCTATTGTATAGCCTGCCAGCCAGTTTTGAAAACTTCAGGTGTGCAATTGAGTCTAGAGACGAATTACCATCCCCGGAAATTCTTCGAATAAAAATTATAGAAGAGTATACTGCGCGGAAAGGCGACGTTCGAGAAACGGAAGGCGCCATGTTCGTGAAGCGGAATTATGGGAAAAATCACGGTCACGCAGGAAATGGCGGACGGGGCAGTGGCGTCTCGGAAGGTATACGAGGCAGCGGCGTCTCGGAAGGTGCACGAGGCAGCGGCGTCTCGGAAGGCAGAAGAACGTTCAGGTATAAGTGTCACAGATGCCGAAAAGTAGGCCACAAGGCCGCTGAATGTCCAGACAAAGGTAAGACTGTTGCCAATTCTTACAAAAGTGAAGCGAACTGTTCCGAACACGTGGGACTCGTTACCGCGGAATGTTATCATGTTGAACAGAATCACAAAAGACTGAAATGGTGTCTAGACAGTGGCGCAACGTCTCACTTATGTAAAGACATTAGTTGTTTTTCTGACCTTGAACGTAGACATGATCATTTGAATTTAGCAAATAGTGAATTTACGGACATTACAGGTTCCGGAACAGCCACGTTTGTTGCTGACGTTTTTGGCGACACGAAAAACATCTCACTCCATAAAGCTTTTCATGTTCCCGACCTAAGAGTAAACTTACTTTCTGTTGCAAAGATTACCAATAAAGGATTTGAAGTTTTATTCAAGAAAGAAAATGCTTTGATCTATGATAGTAATGGTGATATAAAAGTTGTAGCCGATCGTAGTGGCGATTTATACTACGCGAGAGAAGGCGAAGCGCAGAATAAATCAGCTTTCATTTCGACCATGAATTCTAAAAATGTCAAACTATGGCATCGTAGATTAGGACATTTGAACTTTCAGGATTTGAATTCTTCATTGAAGAAAGGAAGATTAGGTGGAGTAAATATTGAAAATATGCCTAATAATGGGGAACTTAATTGCGAAATTTACATACGCGGAAAAATGACGCGTTCACCATTCCCGAAGAAGTCCGACAGGGAATCGGAAATGCTAGAAATCGTACATACTGATGTTTGCGGTCCCATGCGAGTAGAATCTCACTCGAAGTACAAATATTTTGTCGAATTCATAGATGATTATTCTAGGTATTGCACGGTATTCTTCATGAAACATAAAAATGAAGTTGTGCGAAAGACTCAGGAATATATTACACTGGTCGAAAACCAAAAGAACAAAAAGATAAGGTGCATCCAATCTGACAACGGGACGGAGTACACATGTAAGGAAATGGAGGATCTCCTGAAAAAGCACGGAATTTCACGTCGCTTGACTTGCCCATACACTCCGGAACAGAACGGTATAGCGGAGAGGAAGAACCGCACTCTCTTTGATACAGCACGTTGTCTAATCATGCAGTCCGGCTTACCTCCGATCTTTTGGGCTGAAGCCATCAACACGGCCAACTATTTGCGGAACAGATGTCCATCCAAAAGTCTGAACGGGTTAACACCATACGAAAAGTGGACTGGAAAGACTCCCGACGTTTCGAATCTCAGAGATTTTGGTTGCAAGGTCTTCTGTCTAAACCAAGATCAGGCCAAGGGGAAGCTAGACGCAAGATGTAAGGAAGGAATTTTCATAGGGTATTCGGAACAAACGAAAGGATACAAGGTCTGGTTGCCGAAGGAGAATAAATTCGTAGTCACGAGGGATGTTAAGTTCTTGGAAAACGCAGAAGTCATAAGCCAAGAATGGACAGATTTTATTCTGGAAGGATCATCCAAGGAGAATGAATCAGAGATGTATACTATCGAGGTACAGCTATCCTCAGTTGTCGAGAACGAAAATCCAGAACATGAATCTCCTACAACGGAACAAGAAGAGCCCGAGGTTGATCACGATTCTGAGCCACCCAGGCGTGCCCGCGGGAGACCCAGAATTCGGCGAACTGGTTCGAGGGGAAGACCTAGAAAGATATACAGGTACAGGACACCCCCGAGAGGTTCAGCACTCTCTTCTGAAGAGGTATTACTGTCCGAGGTCCCGATGCATCAGGCAGTCAGAGGCGAGGACGCTGACGAATGGCACAAGGCGATGGCAGACGAAGTGGCATCTATCTTGAAGAATGGTACTTGGGAATTAATCGACCGACCATGTAACCAGCACATCGTTGGAAGCCGTATTGTCCTGAGAAACAAGTACAAGCCTGATGGAACTATCGAAAGGAGGAAGGCAAGACTAGTCGCTCGGGGATTTAGCCAAAAGCCCGGAACACATTTCAACGAGACTTTTGCCCTTGTAGCAAGGCTTAGCTCCATAAGACTTGTATCTGCCCTAGCAGCACATTTAAATATGGACATGCAGCAACTGGATGTTACCTGCGCATACTTAAATGGAAGTCTAGATGAGACGATTTACATGGAAACCCCCGAATATTTGGATGAATCATTGAAGATTATTTGTGATAACTCCAAATACAACGAGGCTACCAGAAAGAAGGCTCGAGATACCTTGAACACACTGGGAAAAGGTGATAAAGTATGTCTACTTAGGAAGTCACTATACGGCCTGAAGCAAGCCGGTCGGAGCTGGTATCAGAAACTAAGCCAGACACTTAGTGAATGTGGTGCAAATCCAACTAAGTCCGACCCATGTGTATTCACTAGTAAAACAGGGAAAGACATTATGATAATTGTCACTTATGTAGACGATCTGATTATCGGATCACGTGACAAAAAGGCAATATCGTCCCTAAAAGCCAAATTATCTGAAAGATTTGAAATGAAAGATCTGGGATCAGTTAATCATTGCCTAGGGATGGAATTTTCACGCAAGAAAAACAAGATAAGTCTAAGCCAGAGAGCATGTATCTTGGAAATACTAGATCGATTCAACATGGCGGATGCGAACACTGTAAGCACTCCTCTTGATCCAGGAACGAAGTTAAGGAAACCGACGGAGAGCCCATCTAGTGAAGAGCTGAAGTTACCTTATAGGGAGCTTATAGGTGCGCTAACCTATCTATCGTTGGGAACGAGACCCGATATTAGCTTTGCCGTAAGCTACTTAGGACAGTTCAACAACTGTTACACTAAGGAACACTGGACAGCCGCAAAGCGAGTACTTAGGTACCTGAAGGGCACCATCGATCACTCGATAGTATACCAACGAGAAGACATGAATCTGAGAGGATTCGTTGATGCTGATTGGGCAAACTGCCCTGACGATAGGCATTCGTATACCGGATTCTCATTCATCCTATCAGGCGGACCCGTATCGTGGGAATCGAAGAAGCAAGCCACAGTGGCATTGTCTACCACCGAGGCGGAATATATGGGTACCACCGAAGCTGCCAAGGAAGCAATCTACTTGGGCAAGTTCATGACCGAACTTGGGTTCGAAAGACTCGCTAACGTAACCCTGTATAGCGACAATATGAGTGCTATAAAATTGGCCGAGAACCCAAGATATCATTCCCGAAGTAAGCACATCGACATACGTTACCATTTTGTGCGGGAGGCCTTGGAACAGAAGAAGTTTAAGTTGAAGCATACTCCATCTTTTGAAATGGCCGCAGACGTATTGACGAACGGGTTGTCGAGGACAAAACATCGGAAGTGCATGGAACTTCTGGGATTACAGACGACGGACCAGAACCTGTATGTGTCTGCTACGTCTCGAGGGGAAGTGTTGGAACGCGTACTAGCGTCACCCCGCCGCGCCGCTACTGGCGAGACGACCAGACAGGTTGCCTAACCTAGAAGCTTGTAACCGCCGTCCTGTCCCCGCGCGCCGCACCTCGGAATGCAGACAGTCGTGAAGAGTCAGTCGTAGGGATGCGCGATATTCTTCAATGTATCGATATTTGGTACCGATCCGTATCGTGAGAAATTGTATCGATACAGGAAAATATCGCTGTAAAAGAATCGATACCTAAGGTATCGATACCTCGATACGGTTATTCTGTAAGTCGTAATCTTATCCGTTACAAAAACAATTAGGAATCGTGTTTGAATTTAAATCAATATATGATTGATTAATAAATTTTGGGTTCCAAAATCAAATATATTTGTTTGTATAATTTTCAGATTTAATCATTTATAACAAAAAAAAAAATAAAAAATAATTCTCGTATTAAAAAATACATATATAAAAGAAAATATAAAACAATACAGTTCCAATGTTTAACTTGAACTAACAAGTGTTGATATGTAAAAACTAAAATATTATAATCAACATAAATATAAATATATATAAACCAACATAATACAGGTTTTTCTTCAACTGCTATAAAAAATAACAAAAAAAAACAAAACTATAATAGGTTCCAGTCTTCAAAATTTAAGGAACTTCAAAATAAAAGCTCTGATAATCTTTCTCCACTAAGGCTGTTACGGTTTGGGCTAACAATATTTCCAGCTTTGGAAAAAAGCCTTTCTGATGGAACTGAGGTTCCCACAATAGATAAATATTTATGAGCTATTTCTTTCAATATATGTGACGCGTGTGTGCTCCAGTAAGATAATGGGTCTGACAATATTGGTAGTGTTTGGCTGTTTGAATATATTTTAAAATCATAGTCAAGGCTGTCCCTAGTATCCACCTGCGATAAAGTATGTTTGGCAGCTAATTCTTCATGGTAAGCTCATAAGCTTTGAGATTTATTTAGTTGAGGTTGAGGCGGTTGAGCACTTTGACTTTGTGAGTTTGGAGCATTTTTCATTTGGTCTTGGTTATGCAATTCACGTAATTGTTGAATTGACTGGTTAATGAAAGTAACAGCATTAGCACATGCCACTGGACTATTGAAATGTAGTTTTTTAAAACGGGGGTCTAATAAGGTTGACACAGCTAATAATTTATTTTGTTTTATAGCCCCAAACCTTTTAGAAGGTTCATTAATTGTTGTAGTTTTTAAAGCTAATATTTCTTTAGAAGATGGGGATAAATTTCCAATATTTTAAAAAGGCAGTTAACAATAGGTATAATCTTACTTGATGTTAAATATTGCTCGCCGCTGACTTCTTTTGAAACTGCCTCGATAGGAGATAGAATATTTAAAAGTTCTTTTATTTTTTCCAATTCAGATGCATCTAACATGGCTGGTGACTTTGGGTTTTTTAGTAAAATTGGAGCTATATATTCATATAAGTTAGTAAATCTGTCCAACATGTAAAAGGTCGAATTCCACCTAGTTGGCACAGATTGTATTAATCTTAAAATGTTATTGTCTGGCTGTGCTCTTCTTAAATCATCGGCTGCCGATGCCGCAACTTTCTCAATCCGCGGATCGTATGATCCGATATACAAGCAAAAGTATCGATATTAGTGATGTATCGCAATGAAAATATCGATACAAAATATCGGGTATCGAAAGCAGAAGTATCGATACTTTAAAAGATCGTATCGTATCGCGCATCCCTAGTCAGTCGTGGGAAGCAGTCGAAGTACAACAGCAGCCAGCACACGCGCGCGGATCGCGGAACGCGGAAGCCCGGTCTACACCTGTAGCTTATCTACCCATTCATGTACAAGTACTGAATAAACTGTTCTGAACCGAAGACCACTGCGAGTTGAATTGCTCTGCTTACCTATCCTCAACAATAATAATAATTATAATAATAAGAATAATTATAATGATAATAATAATAATAATACTACTAATAATAATAATAAGAGTTCGATCGAAAGATTCTACTTGCCAAGATCCAAAGGAGGACGAGGCGTGATTGACCTTAAAGCAGCTAACCTGCGGAATATAGAAAACCTCAGGAGATTATTTTATAGAAAGGGCGAAACACCTGCATATCACAGAAATATAGCTTCAGCTGACTACAAGTTCACACCACTGAACCTGTCGGATGAACAGTATGAACCTCTAACCCATGTGACCACCGACGAACAATGGTATCATCAATGGAAGTCCAAACAGCTTCATGGAAGACATCCAGCCATGCTCAGCTCAGATCACATTGATGCAGAAGCGTCACATGGATGGCTGAAGAGTGGGGAGCTATTTTCGGAAACTGAAGGTTTCATGATTGGCATTCAAGATCAGGTGATACCAACCTTAAACTATAGAAAATACATCATGAAAGAAGAAGACATTGAAGATAGATGTCGTATATGCCATAACAAGTCGGAAACAATAGAGCATATCCTGACGAGCTGCACTCCCCTAGCTTCCACTGAGTATCTGAAGCGCCACGACAACGTGGCTAAAATAGTTCACCAAGAAATTTGTTATGCTGCGAACATACTAACTGACCGCACCCCATATTACAAGTACCAGCCGACTCCAGTTATAGAAACTAACAGCCATAAAATATACTGGAATAGAACAATTCAAACAGATCTCACCATGGAATACAACAAACCAGATATCGTAGTTCAAGATAAAATGAAGCAAGTTACCTGCATAATTGACATTAGTGTGCCTGCCCCACATAACATAGCTGAGAAGCAGACAGAAAAGGTTCGCAAGTACTTACCACTAGCTGCAGAAGTAAAAACACTGTGGAATCAAGAAAAAGTTGAAGTCATCCCAATAGTGATCGGAGCCACAGGAGAAATACCTAAGAGTCTACATAAATATATTGAGAAACTAAATCTGCCGCAGAAACTATACCTCTCATTTCAGAAAGCTGCTATCTTAGGTAGTTGTCATATAGCACGCAAGGTCCTGAATGTAGCCACATAGACAAAGAGAAACCAATAGTCACACTCAGACGCTTGCAGTATAATGCCGCGTTTGAGGATACCACCTGCAGTAGCAGAGAATAGCTAACAGGAAACGGAATAATAATAATAATAATAATGTTAATAATAATAATTATTATTATAATTATAATAATAATAATAGTAATTATAATAATAATAACAAGAATAATTATAATATTAATTATAATGATAATAATAATAATTATAATAATACTAATAATAATAATGATTATACTATAATAATAATAATAATAGTAATTTTAATAATAATAATAATAATAATATAATAATAATAATAATAGTTGTAATTATAATAATAATAACAATCATTATAATAATAACAAGAAGAATAACTATAATAATTATAATAATAATAGTAATTAATAATAATAATAATGTAAATAATAATAATAATTATTAAAATTATAATAATAATAATAGTTTAGTTTAGTTCAGTTTATTGAATACATTACATACATTATTGTACATTTGAAGTCACAGATTTTTGTATTTTAAATATAGTTACATAATTAATATAATCATCGACACTGTAAAAACACTTGTCTATCAGAAAGTTCTTCAATAGTCTATTGAATTTGTAGACATTCAAATTTTTCACATCATGTTCTGCATAGCAGTTCACAAATAAAGTGTATAATGTGACATCCAACTTGTTCAACTTGGATAAACGTAATCTAGAAAAGGGAACTCTGAGGTTATTTGCTGACCTGGTATCATGATCATGAACATCGGAATGCGTTACATATTTAAGGAGGTTTTTATGAATATGTAAAAGCGTTTCATATATAAAAATGCTTGGTAGTGGTAAAATTCGATGTTTTCTAAAAAGTGGTTGGCATGGTGTGCCGTATTTCGAACCATCAATTATGCGAACAGCTGCCTTTTGGAGTGCGAACGCTCTGAAAGATCCAGAAGTGTTCCCCCAAAGGAGGGCACCGTACGACAACTGACTGTGGATTAGGCTGAAGTAAACTGTTTTTAGATTACGTTTATACAAATATTCACTCATCCGTCGAATTGCAAAGATTTGCGTGGATAACCTGGAACAGGCGAGATCGATGTGCGGTGACGAAGTAAGTTCCGTATCCAGTTTAACTCCTAGGAGTTTGACAGGATCAGACGCAGGTTGACACTTGTCAGAGTAATTATAATAATAATAATAATGTTAATAATAATAATTATTATAATAATAATAATAATAATTATAATGATAATAATAATAGTAATTATCATAATTATAATAATAATGATTATTATAATAATTATTAGTATTAACATTATTATTATTATTATAATTACTATTATTATTATTATTATTATTATTATTATTATTATTATTATTATTATTATTATAATTATTATTATTATTATTATAATTATTATAGTTATTCTTCTTACTATTATAATGATTGTTATTATTATTATAATTATGATTATTATTATTATCATTATAATTATTCTTATTATTATTATAATTATTATAATTATTATTATTATTATTATAATCATTATAATTATTATTAATATCATTCTTATTATTATCATTATAATTATTATTATTATAATTATTATTATCAGTATAATTATTCTTGTTATTATTATAATTATTATAATAATTATTATTATTATTAACATTATTATTATTATTATAATTACTATTATTATTATTATTATTATAATTCTTATTATTAAAATTACTATTATTATTATTATATTATGATAATTATTATTATTATTATCATTATAATTATTATTATAATTATTCTTATTATATTATAATTATTATAATCCTTATTATTGTTATTATTATAATTATTATTATTATAATTATGATTATTATTATTATTATTATTATTATTATAATTACTCTGACAAGTGTCAACCGGCGTCTGATCTTGTCAAACTCCTAGGAGTTAAACTGGATACGGCACTTACTTGGTCACCGCACATTGATCTCGTCTGTTCCAGGTTATCCACGCAATCTTTGCAATTCGACGGATGAGTGAATATTTGGATAAACGTAATCTAAAAACAGTTTACTTCAGCCTAATCCACAGTCAGTTGTCGTACGGTGCCCTCCTTTGGGGGAACGCTTCTGGATCTTTCAGAGCGTTCACACTCCAAAAGGCAGCTGTTCGCAAAATTGATGGTTCGAAATACGGCACACCATGCCAACCACTTTTTAGAAAACATCGAATTTTACCACTACCAAGTATTTTTATATATGAAACGCTTTTACATATTCATAAAAACCTCCATAAATATGTAACGCATTCCGATGTTCATGATCATGATACCAGGTCAGCAAATAACCTCAGAGTTCCCTTTTCTAGATTACGTTTATCCAAGTTGAACAAGCCGGATGTCACATTATACAATTTATTTGTGAACTGTTATGCAGAACATGATGTGAAAAATTTGAATGTCAACAAATTCAATAGACTATTGAAGAACTTTCTCATAGACAAGTGTTTTTACAGTGTCGATGATTATATTAATTATGTAACTATATTTAAAATACAAAAATCTGTGACTTCAAATGTACAATAATGTATGTAATGTATTCAATAAACTAAACTAAACTATTATTATTATTATAATTTTAATAATCATTATTATTCTAATAATTATTATTATTAACATTATTATTATTATTAATTACTATTATTATTATAATTATTATAGTTATTCTTCTTATTATTATTATAATTGTTATTATTATTATTATTATTATTATTATTATTATTATTATTAAAATTACCATTATAATTATTATTATTATTATTATTATAATTATTATTATTATTATAATTACTATTATTATTATTATTATTATAATTATTACAGTTATTATGATTGTTGAACGCGTACTAGCGTCACCCCGCCGCGCCGCTACTGGCGAGACGACCAGACAGGTTGCCTAACCTAGAAGCTTGTAACCGCCGTCCTGTTCCCGCGCGCCGCACCACAGAATACAGTCAGTCGTAAGTCGTGAAGAGTCAGTCGTGGGAAGCAGTCGAAGTACAACAGCAGCCAGCACACGCGCGCGGAACGCGGAAGCCCGGTCTACTCCTGTAGCTTATCTACCCATTCATGTACAAGTACTGAATAAACTGTTCTGAACCGAAGACCACTGCGAGTTGAATTGCTCTGCTTACCTATCCTCAACAGGTTACGTGCCCAGAGACAGTGCTACGGACATTGAACAATTATTGCAAGTGCTGAAGATAATATAGGAAGTGTGTGACTAGTGTATCAAACATGAGTGTGGCAAAAGTATCCTGTATAGACTCGCTTAGCAGGGATAACTACGACACGTGGAAAATACAGATGAGGGCATTGCTGGTAAGAAACGATCACTGGAGTTATGTATCTGGCGAGATAAAGCAGCCACGGATAGATGATGGGGACGAAGCATCCACGAGAGCTGTAGAAGCCTGGACTAAAGGTGACAGCAAGGCGATGTCGGACATAATTTTGTCAATAAGCCCCTCAGAAATCAAACAGGTAAAGAACTGTAATACATCCAAGGAACTGTGGCAAAAGTTGGAGGGTATTACCAATCAAAAGGACCCGCTAGAAAGGCCACATTGCTCAAACAGCTTACACTGCAACGTATGGAAGAGGGACAGGACATACGATGTCATTTAAACTCATTTTTCGATGCAGTTGACAAGTTAAATGACATGGATGTAGAAATCAATGCAGATCTATTAGCGATAATGCTACTGTATAGCCTGCCAGCCAGTTTTGAAAACTTCAGGTGTGCAATTGAGTCTAGAGACGAATTACCATCCCCGGAAATTCTTCGAATAAAAATTATAGAAGAGTATACTGCGCGGAAAGGCGACGTTCGAGAAACGGAAGGCGCCATGTTCGTGAAGCGGAATTATGGGAAAAATCACGGTCACGCAGGAAATGGCGGACGGGGGCAGTGGCGTCTCGAGTAACGAGGCAGCGGCGTCTCGGAAGGTGCACGAGGCAGCGGCGTCTCGGAAGGCAGAAGAACGTTCAGGTATAAGTGTCACAGGATGCCGAAAAGTAGCCACAAGGCCGCTGAATGTCCAGACAAAGGTAAGACTGTTGCCAATTCTTACAAAAGTGAAGCGAACTGTTCCGAACACGTGGGACTCGTTACCGCGGAATGTTATCATGTTGAACAGAATCACAAAAGACTGAAATGGTGTCTAGACAGTGGCGCAACGTCTCACTATGTAAAAGACGTTAGTTGTTTTCTGACCTTGAACGTAGACATGATCATTTGAATTTAGCAAATAGTGAATTTTACGGACATTAAAGGTTCCGGAAACAGCTACGTTTGTTGCTGACGTTTTGGCGACACTGAAAAACATCTCACTCCACAAAGCTTTTCATGTCCCGACCTAAGAGTAAACTTACTTTCTGTTGCAAAGATTACCGATAAAGGATTTGAAGTTTTATTCAAGAAAGAAAATGCTTTGATATATGATAGTAATGGTGATATAAAAGTTGTAGCCGATCGTAGTGGCGATTTATACTACGCGAGAGAAGGCGAAGCGCAGAATAAATCAGCTTTCATTTCGACCATGAATTCTAAAAATGTCAAACTATGGCATCGTAGATTAGGACATTTGAACTTCAGGATTTGAATTCTTCATTGACGAAAGGAAGATTAGGTGGAATAAATATTGAAAATATGCCTAATAATGGGGAACTTAATTGCGAAATTGCATACGCGGAAGAATGACGCGTTCACCATTCCCGAAGAAGTCCGACAGGGAATCGGAAATGCTAGAAATCGTACATACTGATGTTTGCGGTCCCATGCGAGTAGAATCTCACTCGAAGTACAAATATTTTGTCGAATTCATAGATGATTATTCTAGGTATTGCACGGTATTCTCATGAAACATAAAATGAAGTTGTGCGAAAGACTCAGGAATATATTACACTGGTCGAAAACCAAAAGAACAAAAAGATAAAGTGCATCCAATCTGACAACGGGACGGAGTACACATGTAAGGAAATGGAGGATCTCCTGAAAAAGCACGGAATTTCACGTCGCTTGACTTGCCCATACACTCCGGAACAGAACGGTATAGTGGAGAGGAAAAACCGCACTCTCTTGGATACAGCACGTTGTCTAATCATGCAGTCCGGCTTACCTCCGATCTTTTGGGCTGATGCCATCAACACGGCCAACTATTTGCGGAACAGATGTCCATCCAAAGTCTGAACGGGTTAACACCATACGAAAAGTGGACTGGAAAGACTCCGACGTTTCGAATCTCAGAGATTTTGGTTGCAAGGTCTTCTGTCTAAACCAAGATCAGGCCAAGGGGAAGCTAGACGCAAGATGTAAGGAAGGAATTTTCATAGGGTATTCGGACAAACGAAGGATACAAGGTCTGGTTGCCGAAGGAGAATAAATTCGTAGTCACGAGGGATGTTAAGTTCTTGGAAAACGCAGAAGTCATAAGCCAAGAATGACAAAGATTTTATTCTGGAGGATCATCCAAGGAGAATGAATCTGAGTGCATACTATCGAGGTACAGCTATCCCAGTTGTCGAGAACGAAAATCCAGAACATGAATCTCCTACAACGGAACAAGAAGAGCCCGAGGTTGATCACGATTCTGAGCACCCAGGGTGCCGCGGGAGACCCAGAATTCGCGAACTGGTTCGAGGGGAAGACTAGAAAGATATACAGGTACAGGACACCCCCGAGGGGTTCAGCAACTCTCTTCTGAAGAGGTATTACTGTCCGAGGTCCCGATGCATCAGGCAGTCAGAGGCGAGGACGCTGACGAATGGCACAAGGCGATGGCAGACGAAGTGGCATCTATCTTGAAGAATGGTACTTGGGATTAATCGACCGACCATGTAACCAGCACATCGTTGGAAGCCGTATTGTCCTGAGAAACAAGTACAAGCCTGATGGAACTATCGAAAGGAGGAAGGCAAGACTAGTCGCTCGGGGATTTAGCCAAAAGCCCGGAACACATTTCAACGAGACTTTTGCCCCTGTAGCAAGGCTTAGCTCCATAAGACTTGTATCTGCCCTAGCAGCACATTTAAATATGGACATGCAGCAACTGGATGTTACCCTGCGCATACTTAATGGAAGTCTAGATGAGACGATTTACATGGAAACCCCCGAATATTTGGATGAATCATTGAAGATTATTTGTGATAACTCCAAATACAACGAGGCTACCAGAAAGAAGGCTCGAGATACCTTGAACACACTGGGAAAGGTGATAAAGTATGTCTACTTAGGAAGTCACTATACGGCCTGAAGCAAGCCGGTCGGAGCTGGTATCAGAAACTAAGCCAGACACTTAGTGAATGTGGTGCAAATCCAACTAAGTCCGACCCATGTGTATTCACTAGTAAAACAGGGAAAGACATTATGATAATTGTCACT